AAAACAGAAATACAGAATATACTGAAATGAAAAGGATCAATTGCCCACAATTCCATATACAGGCACACCTCAGAGATACTACTGGTTCAGTTCCAGACCATCACAATAAAGCCAATATAGCAATAATGCAAGTCACACAAATTTTTTGGTTTCTGAATGCATATAAAAGTATGTTTACATTATACCGTATTCTATTAAGTGTGTAATAGAATTATGTCTAAAAAATGCACACCTAAATTTTAAAACTATCTTTATTTCTAGAAAATGCCGGCACAGAGACATAAAGTGAATAGTAATGCCACAAACCTTCAACTGTAAAAACCACAATATCTACAAAGTGCAGTAAAGGAAGCACCACGAAGTGACGTATGTCTGTTTTCATTGCCAGTGCCTTTTTTTTAAATTAAAAAAAAAAAAAAAATTGTAGGCCAGCCACAGTGCCTCACACCCGTAATCCATCACTTTGAAATGCCAAGGCAGGTGGATGGTGAAACATGGTGAAACCCCATCTCTACCAAAAATACAAAAATTAGCCAGGCATGTGGTGCACACCTGTGGTCCCAGCTATTCAGGAGGCTGAAGCAGGAAAACCGCTAGAACCCAGGAGATGGAGGGTGCAGTGAGCCAAGACTGTGCCCCTGCACTCCCGCCTGGGCAACAGTGTAAGACTCTGACTAAAAAAAATAATAATAATAATAAAACAGAAATGTGGTTGTGATCACAAAGTATATACTATTCCACCTCCATTTCTTGATGTGACTGACACATTTAAGGTGAATGGATGTTAAAATGAGTGTTAGGGAAGTTACTGTGGTGACAGCTGCTCAACTCTGCAAATACATTACTAAAAACAATGAACTGTATACTTTAGGTAAATCATCTGGCATATAAATTGTATCTCAACAAAGATGCTGAAAATTATTGATAAACTTTAGTTTTCCTACCTACATTCTGCAGACATTCTATGTAATATAGGGAGTTACACATTATCTATGTAATATAGTTTTACTTAATCATGTATTTAATGATTATAGGGAAGTATACCTCAAGACATACTTCTCAACTAAAAGCTGTATCTAGTTTTTTCATTATGATAACCAATGCTAATATTAACATCTTTGGTACACTGAACACTTATGAATATCATATTCTTTCTTCCCAATCATCTCCTAAAAGGATTTAGGGTTTTAATAATACCAACAATCTAGAAATTATTTTAAAGGACTAATAGACTTTTCAAAAACTTAGTTACTCTCTAATATTACTAAGCATGAAAAATAATAAGTGGGGTGCAGTGGATCATGTCTGTAATCCCAGCACTTTGGGAGGCTGAAGTGGGCGGATCACTTGAGGCCAGGAGTTCGAGATTATCCTCGACAACATGGCAAAACCCCATCTGTACTAAAAACACAAAAATTAGCCAGGCACGGTGGCACATGCCTATAGTTCCAGCTACTTGAAGGCTGAGGTATAAGAATCACTTGAACCCGGGAGGCAGAGGTTGCAGTGAGCTAAGATTGTGCCACTGCACTCCAGCCTGGGTGACAGAGCAAGACTTTGTCTCAAAAAAAATATGTGTGTGTGTGTGTGTGTGTATAAAACTAAGTACATAAACAAAGAAATAAAAAGTGGTCCTAAGCGAAATGCACTGAAGAAGATTAACTGTGGGGAGAAAAAGGAGGCAGGGAATCTAAGGCTAGACCACAAGTATGAGACTTATCAGAAGGCAGTAAGATCATAGATGGACGATGTTTTTCATATCTGAAAATAATTCAGGGCAAAGAAAAAAATCCATTTCTCACAGGTGGGTGCTACACATCATGGTGCCTAAGAACACAGGCCTAGGGCTGGACAGAGCTGTGTTCAAATCCCAGTTTGATTCAAGGCCAACAGACCTCAAACATACTCATCCTGAATTGTTACCACCCAAAATTTGGGGATGACAGAACACTTACGTCAGAGGTTACTTTGAAGTTCACCTAAGATTAATGTTCCTTAAGTGCTTGGTACAATATCCGCCCATAATGAGCATTTCATAAATAGTTGCAATGATGAAAATGATGATGACAATGATGATGACAGCTGCTTTTGATGAAATGGGAATGTTGGAATCTAAATCTTAGCCCTCCAGACGTTTCTGTCTAAAAACGACAGTATTTTTCTACTAACTCCAAAAGGGCCTGAAGGTATTTTTATTACCATGAGAGTTTCAGCTGTGACCAGAGTTCATTTGCGCAATCTTTACATTCCAGTGCACTAAGTGCTTTCTCACGCAGGGATAAAAGAAGTCTTTGTCACATGCTTGTGAAAAGCACCATGTTTGCTAGATGAGTTAAGTGCTAAACTTAGTGTTGCTGCAATGGCATGCTGGGAAACCACATGAATCTAGGAACATCCAAATAGTGAAACAGCATGGGTTTTAGGGAAGCAGACCATGTGGACGTAGATGTGCACGTGTGTGTTTTAAGGTAACATATTTTGAGTAACATCTGTATGCCAGGCATCATCCTAAATGCTTCATACTTTACAACGATCCTGTGAAGTGGGAACTTTGATTAGCACCGCTTTATAGGCAAGGAAACACTGTCTTGGCAAAATTCCGTGTTTTCCTCACGTCGGATGGCTGATGGGTGAGTTGGGGAGCCAGCATTTGAACCTGGACTCACACATGCTCTCATCCTCTACGCTCCACTAAGCAGAAGTGACTGTGGTGAAATAAGCCCTGTAGATTGTAGTTTAATTTTCTGATTTGTAACTTTTGGTAAGAATGGTCACTTGGCCAGGTGCAGTGGCTCAAGCCTGTAATCCTAGCACTTTGGGAGGCCGAGGCAGGTGGATCACGAGGTCGAGAGATCGAGACCATCCTGATCAATATGGGGAAACCCCGTCTCTACTAAAAATACAAAAAAAAATTAGCTGGGCATGGTGACGCATGCCTGTTATCCCAGCTACTCAGGAGGCTGAGGCAGGAGAATTGCCTGAATCCAGGAGGCGGAGGTTGCGGTGAGCCGAGATCGTGCCGTTGCACTCCAGCCTGGGTAACAAGAGCGAAACTCCGTCTCAAAAAAAAAAAAAAAAAAAAAAAAAAGAATGGTCACTTAAATAAAGCACCTCCCAAAAAAAAAAAAAAAAAAAAAAAAAAAATTGGGCCAGGTGTGGTGGCTCATGCCTGTAATCCCAGCACTTTGGGAGGCCAGGTGGGCGGATCACCTGAGGTCGGGAGTTCAAGACCAGCCTGACCAACATGGAGACACACTGTCTCTATTAAAAATACAAAATTAGCCAGGTATGGAGGTGCATTTCTGTAATCGCAGCTACTTGGGAGGCTGAGGCAGGAGAATCACTTGAACCCAGGAGGCAGATGTTGGGGTGAGCCAAGATTGCCGCATTGCACTCCAGCCTAGGCAGCAAGAGCGAAACTCCATCTCAAAAAACAAACAAACAAAAAGGTTTTTTTTTAAAGGTCTAATCTGGATGCTTCATTATTCTGCCCCTAGTTGTGCAGGCAGTCACCTGGGGCGCGGTCCACAGCAGCCCCGAAGAACAGAAGGCTTCCCAGAGGCAGATGACGCCAACGCTTACATCTTGTTAGAACCAGAGCACGTAAGTGGATTTTTCTACTCTCCTTTCTGTCTCTGGAAACAAGGTCAGCAGATTCTCCATGGTTTTAGGAAAAGGTAGCCATGTAATGTAACCTCTAAAATAAAACAGTTCTGAGACTGAAAGGTACACTATTAATAAATATGCAGGCCTAAACCAGGATATCGCCTAGTTATAGGTTCCCAGGTCAGCCTGGTTGAGGCATCTCAGTCTTTCAACGAATCATATGTGAATTGCTTAAGTGTGTCAGTAAGTTAAAACGCTGTACATAGAAGGGAAAAACGTGACGTGGTTCTTTGCCAGGGACATGAACCAGCAGCTCTAATTGTATGGGTCATGTCTGCATCCCAATATGGCCTCATAGTGACAGGAAGTGCTTTAACCAAGGGGGGAAAAGTGGAGAATCACAAAGGTCAGCACAAGAACTGCAATATTTTTCAGGAATTCCGGGGATAGGACAACCCCAAGGACTGCTTCATTAATATAAGCCCAGAAAGTCTAAAAATCCAATTTTGTAGATCCAGAAAACAATATAATGACCTTAATAAGCTCTTGCTCAACTCTAACCAACTAGCACTTTATTTGCTTTACTTTTTTTTAATTTAATTTTTGGTGCTATTGAGATGAAGTGAATGTATTTATTTGCTTTATTTCAAGAGGAAGGCTTGTATGCCTCCTGGTCTCTTACTCATCCTGGAACTTCAGGAAACAGGCTCATATGGACAGCTCTTCTAATTCCAGCTCCAGGCCTAAGGAGCAGTAGCACTTACATGGTTGGGAAAAAAGAGTCTGAATTTTTGACTCTCTAGAACAACCTAAGAGCAAAACGGTAAGGTTTTCCCAGCATTTTTCCAGCAAATGTAGTGAAATTTAAGGGCACTCAGAAAAAGAGATGCCCTTAGGGACCGCTATGACAGACTTCTTCCTTGCAGAAGAAAGACTGAAGCCTCAAAGTGAAGAGCTGCACCCAAAACACATACCCAAAGGACCAGATCTGGCTCCCAGCCCGATTCCCTTTGATTATGCTGCTTGGTTAAAACACTATCTCAAGTTGTAGATCTCTCCAAAGAGAAGGAAGGATGGAGGGAGGGAGGAAAGGAGGGAAGAATGGAGGGAGGGAGAGAGGAGAGGAAGAAGGGAGGAAGGGAGGGAGGGAGGAAGGAGGGAGAAGAGAAGGAAAAAGAAAGAAAGGATGGAGGGAGGGAAGGAGGGAAGAAAGGGTGGAGGGAAGGAAGGAAGGAAGGAAAGGAGCCATGGGTTGAGCTAGGTCTAGATGTAACCCATCAAAGCTTGATGACAATTTCAAATCACCAACGTAAGGCGATTTGAGGGAGAACAAAGAGACAACCAAAAATGTCTCAGTAAGACCCTGACAAGAAGAGAACAAATGTATCACCTACCTTTGGTCTTGATGGCCGTTTCAATGTTCAAAGCATCCCGCTCAGCATCAAAGTTGGTGTAGGCTTTGACTGACCCATATGCACTTGGGGGTGTAGAGTGCTGAAGATAAAAGATAAACATACTCAAAAGACATACATTTAAAAGACTCCTGTTGAAACAACTCTTTTTTTTTTTTTAATTTCGCCCTCCCCACACCCCAGAAACAACAACTCTTAGTATGTTTTCCTATTGTTTCTTTCAACAATTCAAATCATTCTCACGCTAGGTAACTAGGTAGGTATTATTAACACACCATCACATTTCAGACAAGCAATTTCATTGTTTCTATTAAGAATTCTTCTTCAGCCGGACGCGGTGGCTCAAGCCTGTAATCCCAGCACTTTGGGAGGCCGAGGCGGGTGGATCATGAGGTCAACAGATCGAGACCATCCTGGTCAACATGGTGAAACCCCGTCTCTACTAAAATTACAAAACATTAGCTGGGCATGGTGGCGCGTGCCTGTAATCCCAGCTACTTAGGAGGCTGAGGCAGGAGAATTGCCTGAACCCAGGAGACGGAGGTTGCGGTGAGCCGAGATTGCGCCATTGCACTCCAGCCTGGGTAACAAGAGCGAAACTCTATCTCAAAAAAAAAAAAAAAAAAAAAAAAAATTCTTCTTCTTCAAAGTCTCAGCTAGTTTAGAATATGCTATCTCAATTTCAACTTTTCATCTTACTTTCGGTGAGAGTTCAATAGTAGACCATGCAAAGCTGGGAACTGAAGCCAGCATTCATTCCGGAAGCCTCTGAAGACCTTTAAACTGGGCTGGCAGCAATATGAAATAAGCTGAAAATGTGGAAATACCTGAATGACAAGGGTGTTTAGCCAAGTTTCTGCTACAGGCACATGCATTTCTACTGGGCAGTTGTTGCTGAGCTAATAGTTCAGAAACGTGAGGGAAGTAGCTCCTCCTACCTCTTGACTTTGGCCACCGCGGCACCTTGCTCTGGCCAGATGGCCCACATGCTCCTTGTGTCCTCTCCCTTCTCTCCTCTGAAGCCCTCCCTCTGCCTGCATTAACACCATCCCTTCTGCCTACACCCTCCACTCTTCCTAGGATTTCTTACTGTCTTTTAAACCACAGCCTCTTCCTTTCCCAGAGCTTTCCTTTTGTTAGGCAGGATCTCACTCTGTTGCCCAGGCTGGAGTGCAGTCATGATCATGACTCACTGCAGCCTCAGCCTCCTGGGCTCAGGTGATCCTCCCACACCAGCCTCCCCAGTAGCTGGGATTACAGGCATCCACCACCACACTCAGGTAATTATTTGTTCGTATTTTTTTGTAGAGACAGGATTTTACCATGTTGCCCCAGCTGGTCCTGAACTCCAGCCTCCAGTGATCCTCCCATCTCAGCCTCCCAGAGTGCTGGGAATACAGGTGTGAGCCACCAGGCCCGGCCTTTCAGTGCTTTTCAAAGCTCATTATCCTTCCTGATGTGACAGACGGGAACTCTCCCACTCCAGATTGAGATAAGGACAACAAGTGCTTCCGTATCAGTTCTCCTTTCAAGGTATTAACGTCCCTCCTTGTCTGAAATGCTCTTATAGTTTTCCCTCTCCCTGCTACCCAGGCCCAAAGCAAAGGGCACACAAAGAGGATGGACAATGTGGTTGTGGTTGGCTGATGGCTGGTGGAGGACGCATCGCTGCCCATCCTCAACATCGAGGCTCCCATCCTGCAACCCACCCCCAGCCCTCCAGCACATAATGCCCATATAATGTGATGACCGGGCTTTGGTGCAGTGTTCTGTGAAGAGTGAAGAGACCAAGGTTATTTCTCCACCCACAGGCATCACACTGTAAGCCACCCAGGACCCACACCATTCCATTTTATTAGCACTGAGACTGTACAGGTGAGCAACTAAGAGGGCTTCCTCCTAGATGTCTCCCCAGACATGTCAGAAATCCAAGTTCAGTGTTTGACAAATGTTTCCAAATGCACTTGTGAGGACTATCTTGTCCAAATATGAAATCCAGTTAATATTTATAACTCTGAAATGCAATGCATTATCAAAGTCTGTTCCATCTAATTTCATCACTTAAACTTTCCATTGAGATGAACTTGACCTGGAACACACATTCAGAAAAAAAAGCAAAGTGCTATTCTGAACTACTCAGTATGTTTGCTATGGTAGCTACAAAATGTGGATGAAATCTAAGGAAAAACATTTTCCCATTTATTAAGAGTGCCATCAGTTATTTACAAGGCAGGCAGTCAGCCACTGAGCCACATCATGTATGACTGCATTTACCAGGAGGTATGTTGTCTTGTTCCAAAAACAACAGTGAGTCGGGAACACTTCTGTGTAATTTTATAGTGTCTCCGGAAATGAAATTAAAAAGCGAACTGAACCTATTACCTATAAAATCCACTTGTCTAAAATCAAATTAGTGAAGCAAAGTTGAGTTATCTCTTCTTTCCTTAAACTACTGGGGAACATGTGACATTTTCTGTTTCTGCCCCATCTCTCCACACACAGTAATATACTAAAAGTCCTCTTCCAAAACCTATTAACAAACACAATCCAAGTCCATTAAAGAAACAAAGTATTTAACACCTGAATTTGTCTGACCTCAACATGCAGTTTGTATTGTTGCCAAAACCAGCATGCACACATTTCAAGAAGAAAAAGACTTTTTTTTTCCGAGGCGGAGTCTCACTTGGTCACCTACGCTGCAGTGCAGTGGCATGATCTCGGCCCACTGCAAACTCTGCTTCCCTGGTGCAAGCGATTCTCCTGCCTCAGCCTCCCAAGTAGCTGGGACTACACAGGTGCCCGCCACCATGACCAGCTAATTTTTTGTATATTTAGTAGAGACGGAGGTTCATGAAGTTAGCCAGAATGGTCTCCATCTCTTGACCACATGATCTGCCCACAGGTATGAGCCATTGCACCCAGGAGAAAAAGGTTTTTTTAAAACTCTGTAGGCTTTATACTCCATACAACCTGTACTTCCATAGGCTCCATTAGTTTGAATGTTTTGATGGCAAGTGCCATGCACAGTACAGAGGGTCTCGCACCAGATGACCCAAGTCACTGTCAACCCTCTGTTGAGTGATTCATTGCATTTTAATTTCAATCAAAGCATATTTTGAAAGACCTGTAGGATAAGGCTACAAATCAGTATCAGTGCTGAGTTTGTGTAAAAGCCATTTCCGCCAAGACGACCCAGAAGATGCATAGTATCACTAGTTATTTTACATATTCATAATTAATATTCCACTTAATTCTAAAAGTATTTGAAATAATTTTAATTTCACATATAGCTTAAAATTTTTAATTATAAATAGCAAAAGAAACAAATGCATCAGAATTTCTAGGTTCACATATTTCCTATGAAGGAAAATTAAATTTAGGCCAGGCGCAGTGGCTCACACCTGTAATTCCAGAACTTTTGCAGGCTGAGGAGGGCAGATCACAAGGTCAGGAGATCAAGACCATCCTGGCTATATGGTGAAACCCCGTCTCTACTAAAAATGCAAAAAATTAGCCAGACATGGTGGTGGGTGCCTACAGTCCCAGCTACTCAGGAGGCTGAGGCAGGAGAATCACTGGAACCAGGGAAACAGAGGTTGCAGTGAGCCGAGATTGTGCCACTGCACTTCAGCCTGCGCAAAGAGCGAGACCCTGTCTTAAAAATAAAATTAGGTCAGGCGCGGTGGCTCAAGCCTGTAATCCCAGCACTTTGGGAGGCCGAGGCGGGTGGATCACAAGGTCAAGAGATCGAGACCATCCCGGTCAACATGGTGAAACCCCGTTTCTACTAAAAATACAAAAAAATCAGCTGGGCATGGTGGCGCGTGCCTGTAATTCCAGCTACTCAGGAGGCTGAGGCAGGAGAACTGCCTGAACCGAGGAGGCAGAGGTTGCAGTGAGCCGAGATCGCGCCATTGCACTCCAGCCTGGGTAACAAGAGTGAAACTCCGTCTCAAAAAAAAATTAATTTAATTTAATTTAATTTAAAAAATAAAAGAAAATTGAATTTAATTCTGAGCTCCCTAATAGCCAAAGCTAAAAAGGAAACAGATGAATTATAATAATTTCATTATATTCTTGGTTTTTAAAAGAAATATCCCAGCTTTTTTGAAGAAAATATTTTCCAGGTGCTAAATTTTTAAAAATATAGGTCCCCATCTGGAATAACACCTGGACACTGTAAGAAATCCAAAAGAAGGCCGGGCGCGGTGGCTCAAGCCTGTAATCCCAGCACTTTGGGAGGCCGAGGCGGGTGGATCACGAGGTCGAGAGATCGAGACCATCCTGGTCGACATGGTGAAACCCTGTCTCTACTAAAAAAAACAATACAAAAAATCAGCTGGGCATGGTGGCGTGTGCCTGTAATCCCAGCTTCTCAGGAGGCTGAGGCAGGAGAATTGCCTGAGCCCAGGAGGCGGAGGTTGCGGTGAGCCGAGATCGCGCCATTGCACTCCAGCCTGGGTAACAAGAGCGAAACTCCGTCTCAAAAAAAAAAAAAAAAAAAAAAAAGAAATCCAAAAGATGCAGAATTATTTTCTACATGGCTGTAGCTTATGCCAACCAGTAATAAAATCCCGGGGCATGACATTAAAAGTCATGTAACATCATAACAATTATCACCAATGACATGCTAGGTAAGGCAGAATAAAACTCCAGCCATTCCAGTGTCACTAATGCTGTCCACTTTTAATGTGATGCCAAGAAAAGTTTCCAGTGCCATGGTATTTCCTTCAAACTGAACTACTAGGAGCCGCTGAAGTATCGAGAAAGGGGAAGAACCAAATGACGACTGTCTGAATTGTCCCTATCTTCCTTAGGTGTACAAAAAAGAGAGTAACACGGTTATCCAGTGAGAGGTCTGATTTGCAAAAACTGCATAAAGTGAAAGCGATATACTTACATCACCCTCCAAGCTGAGCTTGCACAGGATTTCATGAACAGTAGACATTTTGAAGGAAGCTGGAAAAAAAGAACCACAAAAAGTCTTTATGAAGAAGCTTTCCTTTACCCTGAAGCACAGGGATTCGTTATACTAATTTCTACTCCTTGGATCATTTCATCTGAGAATATTAGAGTAATTTTGCAAAGAGATGCAATTCCCATGTTATGATTGAAAAATCTAAAGCTCAGAGATGGTCTGCCTTGGGTTGGAATGGACTACTGAATTAGCCAGTCATTCTCCTCCTCTTTGTGAATGGAACCTTGGAGACTGATTTGTGAACACAAAAACGCAATGTGCCCCAAGGCTAACGCAACCTGTTCAGACGGGACAAAACTGAGTCTTCTACTTCTCATAAAAGGTGATGAGCCTGCCAAAGCAGACACTACTTCTGTATTTCTCACAAGTCATTAAACATATTGAGATGGGCCTGAAAGCTACGACGTGAACTAAAATTGGTAGCATTTTCGTGTTGCCCTAATTCTTAATTGGAACCTATATTATTATCCATAATTACTTTCTTAGTCCAATGACGCTTGGAACTATTTATGAGAAAGACGATGGACAGATTTTCTGACCTTAACTCATTCCATAAAGGACTGAATCTGTTTTATTTAAGATTCGAAATGGCTGAAATGAAGTCATCTTCTTCCAGTTAATATACTTAATGGGGAAGCAAAACAATAGCCTGATGAATTGGCTTCCCAGCTTTGCAATCATACAGTTCTTGGAATTGATACACCTAACCCCTGCCAAAAAGGAGTGCTCAACTGTCAGTAAATTTATCTCAACTGAGACAAGACAGGTCATCAACATAATCACCCCCAAAATAAAGAAAATAGCCTAGAGCAGCATCCTGAAATAGACGGAAATGACATTTAAACTGCAGCACTCCTGCTTTGGTCTCTTTTTGCTTAATAGTCTTTGATCAAGGAAACTGCACACATGCAAATTCAGCTTTCCCTTCTCTTCAGTTTGCTTAGTCTAAATATTTTCATAAAATTGGTTTGGAGCCGGGCACGGTGGCTCAAGCCTGTAATCCCAGCACTTTGGGAGGCCGAGGCGGGTGGATCACGAGGTCGAGAGTTCGAGACCATCCTGGTCGACATGGTGAAACCCTGTCTCTACTAAAAAAAACAATACAAGATCGCGCCATTGCACTCCAGCCTGGGTAACGAGAGCGAAACTCCGTCTCAAACAAAACAAAACAAAACAAAACAAACAAACAAAAAATTGATTTGGAGAGAGTATTTGACATAGACATTTGCTAACTTATAAGAACATTTTGGACTAAGCAGATCCCAGGCCTGGTGTGGGGTGGGAGGTGGGAAAACGTAAGAGGAGAGGATTTGCCTTTAGTTGTGGTGAAGGATATATTTTTGCAAGATTCTCCGAGACCACTCCTCTCTTCTTAATGCTCACCGAAGCTTTTGACACACGGTGAAAAGTCAGCCAGTCAAAAGATTTTTCACTTCTCCCACACTCACAACTCTCAGGCAGCCTCCCCACCCTAATATGTCCCACCGATGGGGTATAATTCTGGTTTGTAAAAAGCATTACTGGGCTGGCTCACGCCTGTAATCCCAACACTTTGGGAGGCTGAGACAGCAGGTCACGAGGTCAAGAGCTGGAGACAGCCTGCCAACATGGTGAAACCCCGTTTCTACTAAGCATACAAAAATTAGCCGGGCATGGTGCCACATGCCTGTAATCCCAGCTACTCAGGAGGCTGAGGCAGGAGAAGAATTGCTTGAACCTGGGGGGCGGAGGTTGCAATGAGCCAAGAACATGCCACTGCACTCCAGGCTGGGCGACAGAGGAAGACTCTGTCTCAGGGAAAATAAAAAAGCACTGCTCTAGAAATAAACTCTGGTACATTCAGACATGGAATAGTATTCAGCACTGAAAAGAAATAAGCCATCAAGCCATGAAAAGACACAGAGGAGCCAGGCACGGTGGCTCAAGCCTGTAATCCCAGCACTTTGGGAGGCCGAGGCGGGTGGATCACGAGGTCGATAGATCGAGACCATCCTGGTCAACATGGTGAAACCCCGTCTCTACTAAAGATACAAAAAATTAGCTGGGCGTGGTGGCGCGTGCCTGTAATCCCAGCTACTTAGGAGGCTGAGGCAGGAGAATTGCCTGAGCCCAGGAGGCGGAGGTTGCGGTGAGCCGAGATCGCGCCATTGCACTCCAGCCTGGGTAACAAGAGCGAAACTCCGTCTCAAAAAAAAAAAAAAAAAAAAAAAAAAAGACACAGAGGAACCTAAAATGCACGTTGCTAAATGAAAGAAGCCAACCGAAAAGTTAACGTACTGTATAGTTCCAACTTCATACTATTCTGGAAAAGGCAAAATGATGGGGACAGCAAAAAGATCAGGGTTTAGGGGAGGAGGAAATGAATAGGTAGAGCACAGAGGATTATTAAGGCAGTGAAATGATTCTATAAGATACTGTAATGGTGAATGCATATCATACATTTGTCGAAATCCATGTACAACACTAACAGTAAATGCTAATATAAACTATAGACTTTGAGTATGTAGGTTCATCAGTTCTAACAAATGTACAACCCTGGTGCAGGATGTCAATAGTGGGGAGGCTGTGAGTGTATGGGAACAGAAGAACATGGGCATCCTTTGTATTTTCCATTCAACTTTGCCATGAACCTAAATCTATCCTAAAAAACGAAGACAATTCTAAAAAGTCTTGCTCTGTAGCAGAATCATCCAATACAGTGACCATCAGCCTCATGTGGCTACAAAGCACCTGAAATATGGTCAGTCCAAACTGAGATGTGCTATAAGTGTAAAGGACATACTGAATTTTGGGGACTTAGTATAAAAAATATATTTAAAAATCTCTCATTAATAATTTCTTTCGGCCAGGCACAGTGTCTCACACCTGTAATCCCAGCACTTTGCGAGACTGAAGTGGATTGGGTGGATCACGTGAGATGAGGAGTTTGAGACCAGCCTGACCAACATGGTAAAACCCCATCTCTACTAAAAACACAAAATTAACCGAGGGTGGTGGTGCATGCCTGTAATCCCCGCTACCCAGGAGGCTGAGGCAGGAGAATTGCTTGACTCTGGGAGGCAGAGGTTGTGGTAAGCTGAGACCGCACCATTGCACTCCAGCCTGGGCAACAAGAGCGAAACTCCGTCTCAAATAAATAAATAAATAATTTCTTTTTTGGTAAAGGCAGGATCAGTCTTGCTATGTTGCCCAGGCTGGTCTCAAACTCCAAGACTCAAGTGACCCAAGCGCTGAGAATATAGGCATAAACCACTGCTTCTAGCCCAATAACTTATATATTGATCATATATTACAATTAGAACTATGACATGTTGAATATATCTTATTTCCATTTAATTTAACCTATCTACTTTGCCTTTCTTAATGTGGCTACTAGAAAATTTTCAATATATGCAACTCACATTCTACTTCTATTGGGCAGTACTGGTCTAGAGGAACCCAGAGAGCCATTACCTAATCTAAATCCCAACACCTATGCAACAGTCACAAATTTGAGTCTTCATGCTTTTTTTTTTTTCTTTTTTTTCATTTCTTTTCTTCTCTAATGTTTCAGGAGAGACAAGGTCCTACTATGTTGCCCAGGCTGGTCTTGAATTCCAGGGCTCAAGTAATCCTTCCACCTTAGCCTGCCAAAGCATTGGGATTACAGGGGTTAGCCACCATGCCTAGCTTTTTTGTTTTGTTTTTTTGAGACAGGGTTTCTCTGTCACCCAGGCTGGAGTGCAATAGTGCAATCATAGCTCACTGCAGGCTTGATCTTCAGGGCTCAATAGATCCTCCTGCCTTAGCCTCCCAAGTAGCTGGGCCTACAGGTATGTGCCGCTACACCTGGCTTTTTTTTTTTTCCAGTAGAGATAATCTTTCATTAAATTACCCAGGATGACAGTCTTCTTGAGAGAGAAGAAATCTCCAACTTCAACGTGGACCAAAAAACATTATAGAGGGTCTTATCAGTATTCCTCAGCCTGAGAATTACCAAACCAGAGATGAAATTCCTAGGATGGGCATCAAACCACCTAAGCCCTGGCCTTAACTATCACCCATGGACTCACAGAACTGGACCAGGACTGCAGGAGGGGATAAATCGCTGTCATCTACTGTGCGGAATTCTAGTCTCTACCATAAACAGGCAAGAAATAAAAATGTAAAACAACAGCAAAAACAGGGGACCAGCAAGTCAGAGTTGCAAAACAAAGAGTTGTTTCCACTTAGAGGGTGTAGATTAAATTCTACTCATTTATTAAATCAGGTACCTCACTTCGGTTCTGATGTTTAGAGAATCTCAACTAGAGGCATGCTAACTTTTCATTGTGTGATTCTTTCAAGTTGCCTTTCAAGCTCTGAGCACTGGCTTTGTAGACTGCTGCCTAACGGTGTCCCATGTGGGACTCCCCAGGACTGTGCAGATCAAAGACCATCTGATAGGCTTCTTTACACTCTCCATTCATGTTAATTCTTCTCCCACAGCCACAACACCTTGAGGAGACTGTTAAAAGCCCAACAAATCTTCCTTCCTATTTCACCATTCATAACTGTCCTGCTCTTTCATCAAATCAGGCCTGCATGCCACCATCAACTAAATCTACGTAATCTTGTCAAAATCACTCGAAATCACTCCTCTGTGGCTTCCTCTTACTCCGGCAGAGCCCAGCCTTCAAAGATGAGCATCAGAATCCAACCTCAGTTCCTTCTGTTTACTCCCCAGCTAATGCAGACTAGGGCCAAAGTGTGACTTGCCTCTCTGCAGTCACCACTACTTTAGCATCTGCTCCAACAGGGTCACCAAGACCCCTACTGCATAGAACTCTCTCTTGCCTTTCAGTGCCTGGGAACTTTTTGATACCACTTCATTCATCCGTTCGGCAGAATGTTTTTAAGTGCCCTACATGTGCCAAGTATTCAAATGATGAAAGCATCAGTGTAATTCAAAGCAGTAGGGAATAAGTACACGGTTGACCTCATCTTCCCTACATAGTCCCAG